GGTATCACATGAAAAAGTGAAATACAATGCATATTGCCAGCAACTACCGTAGTAGAGTAAAAGTGTGAGTCAGGTTAGATTTGACTCTTGGAAAATGGTTTGCCTTTTGTCATTGTGTTCCTGAAATTAAGAAAGTAATTACGCTTAAGCTTAGTGATTTACCTGGTTTGCACTGTTCAGGGTGTGCTGTGGCATCAGTAAGAGGTTTAGGGAATCCTTGAGTTTGTAACATTGCCCTGTTGCGGCTCAGTATTTACTGTCAGTGTACCAGTTAAATCATGATGGATAGGCTAATAGAGCAGCAGACAGCCCACTTTGTTGCACTAAATTTCTCGTGACCAGTCTCTCCTATACGCACAGGAGAGAGAGCGAGTTAGATGCTCAGTCGCTGGCTTGAGACGTCAAATCTGGGTTCAGGCCGAAAGAGTTTGTTACTGTAGCTCTCGGACTTTAATTAATCTGGCTGGTCTGGGCTTGAAGTGAAATTGCGGTACTTCTTCTCTGCTCTGCCCCCGCCATCCTAAAGCGAACTCCCTCAAATAAAATGAACCTTATAATATCTGAAAATGACATTTTTATTCTTCTTTGTGGCATGATTCAGGAGTTTTTCATGCTGTTAATGCAACTGATGTGCTTTAATGCAACCAGCAAAGGACTAAATAAGGCCCTGAGGCTACTGAAGCTTTCACATGGACACGTTACATTTAAATGACTTTGTACACACAAAAAGATGTCCTAATGTTTTTTTTCATCTCTTTTTAACAGGATTTTCTGCTTTTCCTAAAAGGGGCGACCACTACTTTATTCGTGTTTGTTGGCAGGACGCTGATATCTTTCTGCCTGGCTCCCCCACAGCTTTTCTAAGATGCCTTCTACCTCTATCTCTCACTGTCACCTGTACTAACTGGGAGGTGGTGCCTTGTCACTGCTTTCCCACATTCACATCACTCAAAGTGTGTGCCTGTCTGTTTGTAGGAATGGATTTATATACACATATTGACTTTACTTCTGTCCTCTGCCACCTCGCCCCTCTTCAAGATTCACATTTTTAGCTACGGTCAAAAATAGGTCATGGTTCCCAGAGAACAAATCCTAATAACTGTGGTGTTTCCATGTAAAACCTCCGCACTGTAGTATGGTCCTTTATTTGCATGGGTTTGAAACTCATCTTTGAAACAAGTACATTGTTTTTGCAATAGACGTGAAAGACATAAATGTGTTTCATTGTATTCATCATAATGACTCCCTGGACTGTTTCAGGGTCTTAAAAAATTCATATGAAAGCCATTTCATGAAAAAGTAGACTTCACAAGGGAAGCCTGAACCCTTTATTGTGCCAGTGCATTTCAGAAATGTATAGTATCGCCTTACTCAGCACTCACAAACAATAAGGAGTATAAACACAAAATTACTGGGTGTCCTCAATCTCCAAAGTGAAATTTTCCACACAGACACTCTGCTTTTTATTGAACTATTAACACAAAAACATTCTTCCACCTACGTGCAGGACAACAAATTAAAATAGAACAAAGTCTGATGAAGCTTTAAGACGGACAGACGTACACATAATAACACACAAGTTTTCTGAAGTTCATCGTCATTGTTCTATAAATTTGAGGGACGATTACAAAAAATGCTCCACACTAACAAGCCAGTATCAAATAAGAACAAATAAGAGTCGTAATTTTCTCCTTACGGCCATCTGAGAGACGGCCTCCTCAAGTTGGTCTGTGTTTTTTTGTTTTTTTTGACTCACCTCAGATTTTCTCTCAAATTGAAGGAACCAGTTGCCGACTGTGGCCCCATCATTAACCCTTGAACGGGCAGCTGGCTGGCACAGCTGGACAGTCGCGGGTGTGGGAGGAAGCCAGAGACTACTCAAACCACCTGATCACAGCTGCAGCCACAACAGGCAATGCTATATCACAGTGGCCGCAAGGTCACAAATTCATCTCATTATGTTTTTGAAATCTGTAAGAGGTCTCCTCTTCACTTTTGTTGTGGTCCGACTTTGGATGATGCATCTCGAAGTGGTGCTCATTTCCCTGCTGCTATCTCAGGATGGAATTGCTGCAAGAACTCGGAAAAACAATTTAGTTGCAAAGTCCAATCACAAAAACTTTTTCTCTCTCCCTGCCTCATTCTGTTGTTCAGCTCCTCAATAAGGGTTTCAACAGGTCAGATCCGTCTGACTCTGCAACGTGGCACGGTCGGCTCTCCATCACATCACATGGGGACAAAGTAGGTGTCAGACTGGCTCTCGGTGCCACTTTACTGCTCATAAAGCCCTGTGTTGACAGATGAGACGAGTAATCAAACATAACATAAATCCACAATCCCTCTCAAAATGCCCTGTGTCATATATCATGCTTAAATATTACATGTCATTCATTTATTTGAATCTGAAAGTGCCAAACTATAATTTTTTATTTCATCATGAGCTCTGATCTTTGGTCTGAACTGGCCAACACAGTCATTTATGACTCTGGGTAACATCAGAGTCCCCTGCTGATGAGTATATGATTTATTTCGGTCCTCAGATACAACAACAACAAAAAACAACTAAAAGGTAGAAAGGGAGATGCTAGAGAGCACAAAGGAAATATTTATTATTAGGTTACTCATAAGGATCATCAGCATTAAATGATGGTTATGTGATAGTGAGTTTATCAAGTGGGAGTAGAAAATGGTCAATAAAGCCTTACAGTCAAGAAATTACCATTTAGTTACCTTGAATGAATTTTGCTGAGATGAAATAAGTGATTGCTTTTTCAGACTTTGAATTATTCAGCGTGCAGCTGGAGTTCCCCTCCAGACACATTTCAAAGTATAAATACTCGGCTGTGATTACTACCAACCCCCGAAGAGGGGCTGGAGGTACATCTGCACTTACCTCCTCTTTAAGAAATCCTGGATCAGGCCTCATGCACCCACCACCGCTGCTTGTGCTATAGGCCGACCGGTGAAAGAGCAGTGCGCATCAAGATGGTTAGCAGAGAAAACATTGGAGAGACTCAGCCGCATGTTTGAGCCTCAGTCAGACCCAGACTCAGAGGAGGAGCCTGTTGTGCACAGTTATTTTTTTATGTTGTCTGTTATCTTGTTAGTTTGTAAGTGGCAGTGGCTGACACAGCATTAACAGTTGTGTTAATGCAAACTCTGGCTCTCTGTAGGATACTGACAGTCCGCTCTGCATTGGAGGTTTCAGGTTTCTTTTGCCCCGCTCTGCAAGTTGACAGAATCAGTTCCTTAGGTTTGTGACGTATGAAACCCAGGCAGGTCATTGGTTCACTGCAGTCCCAAGGTGGAAATACTCAGTCACGGCTTTGATTGTTTATTTCAACTTATCATTTGTCTTGAGTTATATAAAAATCACCATATGGATGTTAACAAGGTTAAAAACCGTTTTCATTGGAGGGGGTCTTTAAAGAAAATGCAAGATTCTTTTTCCTGTTTTCCTTAATATATAGGAAACCTATTTTCTTAAAGGAAAAATTTACCATTGGTTCTTATACTTACACATCAAAAAATGCAGTAAATCATTTTAACTTTCTTCCTTTCACAGTAACCATTTTATTTTCGGTATGTCAATTTCATCATTCACACTTGTCAAAAAGAAAAAAGAAAGCAAAAGAAAAACCCAGGTCTGACATTGAATAAAAATACATCAACCTCAACATTACAACAAATGGTGGTTATGTAATAATTATGGATGAGCAGCATCATTGCATTGATTGACTGAGTTGTCTTCTGATGTGAACGCGTCAGTCAGTTTGCACAGTTTCCAATGGCAACGAGATGGATGTGTTCTTGAATGCTTTGTTTTATATGCACAGTCTTTTGCTTAGGTGTAGAGAGCTGTCAGTCTGTTGAGAATTACTTCCCGTGTACAATTAAGTGTGGAATTATAAAGTCACATAATGAGATTTTAAAGGTGTAGAATAACCCACAGGATAGTACAGGCACCAAAGTAGAAAGGGGAAGAAGTGGAAAAGTTTGTCAGAGTAAAAATAGAGCTGATAAAGAAGAGAGGGCAGCATAAAAATCTGAGGATGAGAGCACTACAGCCGGAGACATAATGGACAATGTGCTTCAGAATAAATCAGTCCAACCCGACAAAACACTTTAAATTGCTGTGAGGTTCAAATGTGAAGTTTCACCTCCTCTATTACATCTCTCCTATATCAAACCGTGAGTGTGTGTGTGTGTGTCATAAACACACCCTCTGTAGTGCATTATGGTCTGCGTAGAATTGTAGAATATATTTAGTCTACATCTGAAACAGTCTCAACAACATACTGCGTGCCTTACATACATAAGTATTTCACATATTGACATGTGAGTCTACAAAGGTACGAGTGTTTCGTTTGGTGCGAGTGAAAGACTGTGTTTATGTGCAACAGATTTAAACTTTAAAACAACGACTAAAGACTTGAGCGTCTTTGTAGTTTGATGCTAAATGTGATGTGTTCATGTGTTTCCAAGGGCACAGGGGTGCAAGACAGCATAAGAGGAGTAAAATTTGATTGGCCCCAACTTGTTTCCATGGATACAGATATCCTAATATAGCTGTCTGTAAAGTGTAAGTTTTGATGAGTGACAGAGTGTTCGCTGTGATCTGGACACTCTGATCTGCTGTTTTAAATGTTTTAAAACAACAAAGTGAGAGCTCCTTAAGCTGTTGAATTCAAGGTCAAGATATTTTTACACAGCTGCTTGAACCTTCTTCATTTGATTATAGGTACACATTTGATGTTGAGCTATTGTTTGCAGGCAGTGGACGCTGTGAGTGCAGCAATCACCTGCACCGTTTTAACTCCTGTTTCTCCAAGAGCCAATCTGAGGTTGAGTAGATTTTTTGCTTTGAGGATTTCTAATCAGGGAACATCCCAGAGACCAAATCAAATGCTTGGCCTGTAGCACTCATGCTCTGCAGATTGATGCACTTCCTATTCTCTTTGAAAGGTTCTATCCATGAATAAGATATAACCAGACTTTCATGTCATTAGCCTGTAATTTTATTTATATCAACATGGAAATGTGCATTTGGCAGCGGAAGGTTTATACAGTGAAACTCAAGCAAGACAGGGAAGTCCTTTATTACATAATACAGTTTCTCCTTGAATCGATTAATAATATCAAAATAGTATTTTCTTTATAGTAGTGTTGAGTTACAAAATTGCGTGACTTTTATATTATACCACAATTACCCTTACCGTGTGAATTCATCACACAAAAGCCTGTACGCTTTTTTACATTTTCTTCAAAATAGCTTTTGCTTGAAAGTGAAATTCAGGGCTATAATCAGATTTGAAATATCTTTTGTTGCTACTGGAGGTTTTGCACCAACTGACCGTTTGCTAAACTCATCCCCCAAAGTCCAACTGTCCAAGGGTAACTTCAGCAGCTCTGTCAGCTTTTTATTGGATTTAGGAAATATTTCAGTCAGTCTTTTTATCTGAGAAAGTGTTACATTCAAGTTAACATGCTGATTAAAAATATAAACAGTACAAAATAAAGGTACAGTCTGATCCTTTTTTCTTATCATACTTATAATGCTAGGTTTAACTAGTTCAATACTGCAATACAAGAACAACGCTGTTTCTTTATTTACGGCACATGAGTCATCAACTGGTGATGGCGGCGCCGGTGAACTTTGTCAGAAATGCACATCAGACGGCAAAATAGATGCACACACACACATACACACACACACACACACACACACACATTTGTACAGCTATCTTTTGGAGGACCTATCCTTGACATGCTGGATTCCCTAGCCCCTTACCTTAACTTTAACTATCCCAACTAAATGCCTAACCTCAACCCTAACCCTAACAATAACCTAAACGTAATTCTAACCCTAACCCTTAATATGTCCAAAAAGCCCTAAACATTTGGGGTCCAGCATTTTGGTCCCCACGAAGCACCACAGACCCCACAAGTATCATGGGCTTCCAGTTTTTGGACCCCACAACTATAGTCAAACAAGCAGACTAACACAAACCTTTCGGCAGGGGCTGAGTCTGACAGTTTCTGTAACCAAATCCAACAATCAAACATTCACACCTACAACACAACTATTGCACAGCCAAGTGCATCACCGTGAAGGCAGGAGAGTGTCTGAAAATAGCTGTTGTTATCCCCATATTTAATGGATAGTGTCTTCTTCCATGACGGACGGCTTTTTCAGATAACTAATACAAACAGATACAAACACCTCTGCCTTCTGATGAAGTCAGACAAACCACTTCTTTCTTAGCGTAACCTAGATTTAGTCTCAGTCTTTTAGCACAACACCTTGTAACATATTTAAGACCATCTTACAGAGGTCTCTAACAAGTGAGCAGGAATCATTAAAAACTCTTCGGGAGACAGTGTTTTCAGCCAAGTGACAGAGCTAACATGAGCTTAATTAGCTAGCTGGAGCTGATAAAATATGCTAGGAGCACTTGTCATTTGAGACAGCAAAATTTATGGTTGCAAACTAGAAAAGCTTTTGTCTTCCTCAGTCTGAATTTAATTGTTTCAAAACACGAAACTGCCACCACTTATCATGGTAAACTGCACCTAAGGGAGATCAGAAAACTTGACAGACCAAGGGGGTTGGGAATTAGCAAACGCAACTGCATGACTTTTTAGTGTCTTTGTAAGGCATCTTAAATTCTTGTAGTCAACTGCTGTAAACAGCTGTGCATACTATATGATGATGCACTCATTCACTAATATAGGTAAGGTGCAATTAATCTTTGGTTCCTCCTTTAATTGTGCAATGGGCTTAAATACTGAATATGTTTTAGCAGATTGTTCACTGAAAAAAAATTGATAGGATTAAGGATTAATGCTTTTGTGTTAATGCTTTAAATATGAGTCTCAAAAGCTTCCATCCGCCCCTCAGAAGGACTGAAAGACGCTGCAGCATCTTTCACAGGACGGCCGATCAGGTCTTCAGGCTCTGTAATCTGCAGGTCACATAATGAGAATGGACTTCTTCTTCCAGGCTTCCTCTCCTCTCTCATGGTTTTGCCTTTAGAACTTGTGAAAAAATCTTTCCCTGCTTCTTCGGGACTCATATTTGCCACCTGAAATAGAAAAAGACACAAAGGTGTCCAAGTTGATTTTTACAGCCAGCGGGAAATGAACAGCAGCCTCTACCATTGTGCAATTTCCAGCAGTTTTTAGTAGTTGGTTTTCATTTAGCCTGATTTCAGCCCACAGTGAAATTGGCTGAAATGAGCTCTCCCTGAGGCTGTCTGGGGTTCGCACTGGGATAAATATTCATTGTGTATTTGATTATAATTGACAGTTATCTTTCTGGATTGGATAGTGACTGTAATCAACTGCTCTATATTTGCTCTATTCGTACCAAGACTGAAAATTTGAACTGATAAGCTGTTTATCCCAATTACATATCTGAACATCTATGAAATGTATGAAGGCGTTTTAACATTGCATTACCATATCACATTAAGCAGCATCTATCATTGCCATTTTCTCTTTTGTCACAAACACATTTTCTACTATTTCTCTGACTAAAAAGGTAAATTTTTCATCATATTTGAAAGAAAACATTTTGGGGTGTCTACAGCTTATCAATATAATTGTGATGCTACAAACTGGCGTGACATTTGCCCAGGTGTAAAAGCTGTTGCAGAGGCTGAATGCAGGTGCAGTTAACCCTGATTAAAATTATCATATTTAACAGTATTTCTGCTCTCCTGAATGTTGCTGTTTGGCTTTTTTCTGCAGACAGAGTGATTTGAAAAACTTTTGAATCTCTGATACACCTACATTTCTTGCCATCTTACAGAAGTTAAATGAAAAGATCAATATAGATTTTATCACTCTGCCTTTAGCCTGCCCCAAGATGTGTTTTGCCAAGGTAGCACAACCACCAGATGAAGGAGAAAATTATCGACCTATAGCTCCAACAAAGTTGCCTTGCAACTCCAGAGGTTTCATATTTACATATTGTATTGTATATTTTACACGTGTGAACATAGAAATTAGTGGTTAACAAGCTGTTAGTTTGTGCTAACATGACAGTAACAGCTGAATATGTAGTCAGAGTGAAATTGCTGGCGTTGCCTCTGTTGTAACTGTGATTTACAAAAGCAACATGTACTTGAGACAATTTGGGGGCTGTTGATGTTTTTCTCTGTTGGCTGTTTCCACTCCCTTGTATTACATGAACAGCAGTGAAACACGCCCTGGAATAAATTATTTTTCTACTGTAAGACAGAGATGAATTTGAAACCTTATTTTCCTGTCTCTTGGTGAGACAGCTAAATATCAGACGGTGAGACAGCTAAATATCAGAATTTAATGGTACACACGAAATTGTTTGGTATTGAAATATCTAAACCAAAACAAGTCTTTATGGCAAAACAAATTAAAAAAATTAAAAAAATTGTTTTCCAGTGCCTTAAAATGTCACATTGGCATTGGCCACTAAAGACTGTCACCCTGCCATGGGTTAAAGCCACTATGTGTAGAATCATAGTGATCGAGTGGTTGCAAATATGACAGGGTGTCAGAATATAGATGCCATACCCTGATACACATTGTCTCATCCTAATTCAGAAATAAAATACCAGTACCAGCCTCTTTGGATTCAGAACCTGTTCAGGGTTGTCTGTGGAGGTGCATCGGCTGATACGAGCTTGAAGCTGGCTAGAAGTGAAAAACGTACAAATGTCTATGAGGTTCTTCCTTTGGGACATCGTTAAGGCCAAATATTTCAAACATGTAGGTATCATATTTTCACTGGACAATTGTATCTTACATAGGATACTCTTAGTTCAGTAACATGCTGTGTTGAGGCAGCGGTTGAAACATTATTATTGCATTAGATGTTACTGGTTGGTATTTTCACAGAGCAACACAGCACTCAGAGCAACAAGCCAACAGCAGCATCCAAGTTGGATCAGGATGCGGGTGACAGATGCAATTATCTTGATCAAACACAGTGCAATGTTCCTCTTCTTTTGTTTTGTTCTGTTTCATTTTGTGGTTCACATTTCCTCTGCCAAAGCAGGTAAACCCAGCGCCTCTGTCACATCTATGTTCAAATTGACAGTACGTAACCTGGCTGGCTTTAATTCCATAATGTCTGGTAAGTTTATTTTGTTTCTATTTAGTTTTCGGATTTCTGAGTTTTCTTTAACTTTAACTTGAGAAAAACTGTAATAAACTTTATTTACAGAGCACGTTTCACACAAGAGATGCAGCTTAAAGTGCTTTAAAATAAAAATAAAAATGATATAGCACATTGAATCAATGGCCAATAAAGAGACAGTGGATGATAATATAAATGAAAATAAAAACAGAGACCACTATGAATACACTAGGAATAATAAAGCATGAGAGAATTAATTGAAAGTCAAATGAAATCAATAGGTTTTAAGCTGTTGTTTAAAATGCATCTCTTATAGCTCTTGGCAGGGTATGCCACAGTCTAGGAGCATAGAAAAGCTGCACTGCCTGTTTTCTTGTGGGTAAAGTTTTGTGTATTAAAAGCCTTAAGATCTAAGAGATCATGATGGATTATAAAACAACAGAGAGTCTGCAATGTAAACTAGTCCCAAACCATTAAGAGCTTTTCAAACAAGTAAGAACATGAACCTTGACATTTATTCTAAAAGACACTGGGAGCCAATGGGGCAATAAGCTCTCTCTTCCTTGTTTTAGTTAGAAATGAAGCATCAAAGTTCTGTCTTTCAGTTAACTGCTTTGGAAGACCAGTAAAAAGTTAATGAAATAATCTAATTTATTTTGAGCATTAATTAAGTTAGATAGGAGCAGCTATACTTTGGCAATATTGATGATAAAAAAGATGAAAATGATGATGGTGATAAACTGTTTTGGTCACCTTCTTTATATTTAAGACAAAGTAAAATGATGCTCAGGCATTTTATCATCAGGGTCCAGATGTTGAAGTTTATAACAGACTAGATCTCTGTTATGTTGAGGGGCAACTAGAACTTGCGAGCAATTTTCTTCTTCACTTCCTTTATTTGTGGCTTGCTTCATTTCTTGGCGCTTTTGCTATCAACTCTCAATCAATTTTAAATAGTTTGCTAGTACATGTGCATGAAATCAAACAAAGCAGGGACCCGCTCTATAGCGCTACTAGTGGTAGAAAAACTCCATGCAGTACCTTTAAGAATTTATCTGTAAATACATTGAATGAAGAATAATGCCATCATAAGCACAACTGTCAGTTAACATATCAAATAGCATAACTAACAGAACACATGAAAACAGCTGCAGTAAGTTCCAGTGAGGAAGATGAATGAACAATGCCAGTACACTCAGTGTTGAGTCATATCCTGATATGAAATGCTCATGTACATTCGCTGTGAAGCAATCTGAAGCCAGAGATTAAACTAGAAAATGAAAGACGCGTGGTGGTGGAAGGAGGAATCAGCATAATCAGTAACGGCAGCAACAGTCCTGCACAAACAGCAGAGAGCGTTTGTGGGCTGTCAGATTATGCAGATTGCACAGACTCCTTTAATGACTTGTGAGAAAAGGGTTGCGATTGTAAACATCAGCTGATGCTCATCGGCTTCTTGCCTACATGAATCGTCTGATGCAACATTTTTTTGACTCTGTCTTATAAACTCTGATGAGCTGATGTATGTATATATATATATATATATATATATATATATTTGAGCCTAAACATTCTGGTCTGGATTTTTAACACCAAGAGGATGTTACATAATCATTTACAGGCAAGGGGTGTAATTTTCTACTGCCAAAAATATGTGTCATTTTTCTTGAATTATGAAACAGCAGTGATAACCAAATGGATTTTACTGTACATTGCTGAGTGGGGAAGGTCAAGTATATGTCACAACGCTGCGAATGGGAGGTTAAAGTTTTAATTGCTAAAATTTAACATGAGGGCAATGAGATTCATGCTCTCTGCTGGATAAATTAAGCCGCACTTGTGACCAAATTAGTGGTAAACGTATTGTTCTGATGGTGAAACGTGATGAGCAACTTTAACGTCCACTTTTTAAGTCCAAAAAAGTTCAGATCAAGGTCTGCAACTTCACTGCAAATTGATTTGACATGGGTAATTTAACACTTTCTCCTCATTTTTCTTTTTTTGAAGAAGAAGAAGAATTCCTTTAAGTGAAAGGTATGACCTTCAACTTCAATTTTTCATGTATTTTTTTTGCTGGTTAATTAGACTTATTTTAGTTAATTGTAACAGTATATCACTCATTTAAAAAAAAAGAGATGTATTGAGATTATTTCCCATCAAAAATATTAACTAGGGCTGCATCTGGTGTTGTGATGACTGACAGGTGTTTGCGGTTGAAAAATCAAAAAGGAGCCAATCAGAGTTTTGTAGGTGGGAGTAAGAACTAGGACTGAGCCAGAAAAATAGCCCCGAAAAAATGGCAACAACTACAGCAATGAAGTTAAATGAGATTGATGCAGCTGGTTGTTGTGAGTCGAAAATAATAATTCTTAAATTGACTTATCTTATCAATTAAAAGACTCACCCCTCCCTCACAATCATCATCCGTCAATCATACACATAGCTATAATCCCACACCAAAATCCCTTTTCAAAATATGCATGTGCATGTGTTCAAACTCTAAGCAGATATGTTTGTTTGGCATCTCACACACACCACTAAAAGATTCTGTTGCATTTGTGTGTAAGAACAAAACAGCCTCAGCAGCATGTAAATTGAAATTTTAATCATCATGTAATTAACATGAACTGAAATTAATTAACGATCACCTCGCTGCATAATGCGGATTGCAATGAATCAAAGATCTGCGGTTAAATTACAACAGCAGGGTAAGCTCTGGTACATATTGCATACTGCCTATTATTATGCTCCACATCACAACAGACGAAGAAACTAAATATTCCACCAAGATATCCCTGGAAATAAACCATTTCTGACCTCTGCATCAGAAATTGTGCTATTGTTTGTCTTTCTGGTGGTAAACGGCTGCCTCTCAGGGGGAGAGCAGTGTTTTTAGCATCAAACACGTCAGGAGCACTGACGTGTTAAAAACGTCTGCTGTGGAAGATTGTTGAAAGCGTATTGATATTGTAAAGGTTCAAATGTCCTCATCCGGAAATGTTTTTCTTCACTGACAATCGTCATGTTGACCTTGACATTTAGTGAGTTATATTTTCAACTAATGAACAAGGTTCAGACTATCATTGTGAAATGAATAGCTCGTTATTGCACAACGACCTTAGCCTTGTGGATTCTTCACAGTGCAGTGACCTTCAGTATTAATTGTGTTGAACATAACACTGGTAATACTAATGATTTTCTCATATTTTCTGCCTGATTAAGAGGTTTGTATTAAAGATTCATTTTAATATTGATATGGAAAAAAGATCTCTGTGTAAACTCAGTAAATAACACAAATACAGTGAGATAATATAATTCTTGCACCAGAAGCTGCAGGAACAACATTAACATTAATTCTGTTTGTTGAATTGCACCACCTGGTTAGAAAAAAATACAACTCCCTTTTGCGCAGCCCAAACCAAAACCCTGCAATGGGTACTTTTTTTTTCCTGCAGTTTGATTGTGAACGTTTTACCACCTCTCAGTGCTGTTCATGACAAAAGCTTTGGCTGATAAATTGCCACACACTCATCTACTCTCCTGACAGCTCTCCAAACCCGTTTCCCCTCTTCATAGGGCAAAAGTGGAGCTCTCACTGAGATTCTCTGGAGCCGGATAAACAACACGAGGAGTCAATTTACAATTAGTTTGTTTGGTTTTTTTTCATTTGAAGATTTAAAAATGTTTTATTATCAACCCCCTCCTGGTTGCATGAAAAGCTTCTGCAGTTGTTTGCAGTGGAATCCCTGTTGATTGCAATGAACTGTACGACACGTGGAGAAAAACAGTGAAACTACCCACATTATCCGTATGGACATATACTCTGAGTGGAGCTGAGCAGAGGCGACTTTCTTTCTCTCTCCAGTTTAAGTTGTTTGACATGAAAAGGTCTGGAGAGACGCCAGGACCTCAGCAGCTTGTGAAGTACGAAGAATCATCCTCTCAGAGGCTTTGACAAGGCTGGCTGACGAGAGAGGTGGTGTGGTGAAAAATCGAACAAGAGGAGTAGAAAAGGTAGAAAAGAATAGCTGCAGGCAAGTGTCCAATTTCTTTCACTAGAACTAGTAAAATGATGTTTGACAACAGAGCCACACTGGATAGCTGTAGGTCTTATAGGAAAAAAATGAAAACAGGAATCTTATCCTGCAATAACAGAGAGCTTTCAGCTAAATATTCCACTGATTTTCTCCTAGCAGAGATGACCTTGATTAAATAGATAGATAGACACCATCCACATCTTCCCAACGTCACATTAATCATATGATTGAGGACTTTATTTGTTAAACCTGACCTGATAGTTGGAGTAATCTCAACAGAGACATTGAACCTTGAACTGTGGTTTACACTAAATAGTACTGCCACATATAGAACTGATTATGGGCTGGGTTCAAACTCTGTTATAAGTCTGTTTAAAGTTCGAGTCCCTGTGTGTTAAAGCTCCCCTCATGTGTGAGATTTGTAAAATCCAAAGGCAACACTGCAGAAGCTTGTTAGAGACGGAGCGTCTCATTTTTCTTAAAAACAAGAATGTATAATATATGCCATCAGATGTGCACGATATTATAATCACTTAAGCTTTCCACACACAAAGGCTTTGAAAGTGGAATTCACCTCTAAGTCATTATTGTTTATTAAAGCTGAAATCAAAGACTGATAAGAGATATTTAATGAAAGCTTACAGTACTAAATTATATGAATGTGTAATTAAAATTATATGCAAAGAGTGGAAAAAACCTATAGTGGAAATAACTTATAGGTGGAAACTGTCCATTATCTATACCAGTTACCCTTACAGGGTCGCAGGAGGGCCAGAGCCAAACCCAGCTGACACTGGGCGAGGGCGGGGTACACCCTGAACAGGTCGCCAGTCTATCATGAGGCTGACATATAGAGCCAAACAACCATTCACACCTACGGGCAATTTAGAGTCACCAATTAACCTAACCTGCATGTCTTTGTACTGAGGGAGGAAGCCCCAGAGTCCCCAGAGAAAACCCACGCAGACACGGGGAGAACATGCAAACTCCACAGAGAAAGGCGATGTTCAGCCATTGTTCTAACCAGGAACCTTCTTGCTGTGAGGCGACAGTGCTAATCACTGCACCACCGTGCGGAACTGTAAGGATCTCAAATGTAAAGCAAGAGAATGTGCACTTAGTAATTACTAATGTTGCTATTGCATTAAAAAAACACCTGAAGACTTGACTGACTGATAAGGAGTTTCAATACTGTTTTCTAATTAGTTATTGCTTACACTTGGATTATAGATTTTACCCATGATAAAACAGATTGTGCATTGTTTGCACGTCCCAAGCAATAAAATCATTACAAACAGTCCCATATGTGACTGGTACAACGGGTTTGACTGTTTGTTTCCGAAGAAGGCCATGGGATATGATCAAACATTACACAAAAAGTTAGTAAGTCAACCTTGAACTTAGTATAACTGAACCATGATAATGATTTAAACTTTCTGGAAACTTTTTGGCATGGCACATCGGCACGGTATAAAACCACTGTGTATTATTCATTCACTGTAATATAATTAATGCTACCAGCTTACCTTTTCCTTTTTGTTGGCAGTTAAAGTCTGCTTGACGACAGACTGCTTGAAGGGGTTTGGATAAAATTCTTCCTCATCCTCCACTGTCAGTCTTGGAATGGCCGTCATGGGGCGAATAACCCCGGGCTTCGTCTGGACAGAGGGATTCAGGGGTTGACAGCAGAGAGGAATTAATTGCCTTAAGTTTCTTTTCCAAGACACTTCAGTGTTACAAATGTTGCTTGATCAAATGAAAATTGAATTTTTACCTTTCTAGGATCCATCAACTTTCTTTCCATGCTGGCAGATGGGTACAAGCTGCTAAGAGATGCCTGAATAAACAACGTGGAAAAAAATACATTAACATAGTTAATAACGTCCCTCACAAATACTGATAACGAAGTTGACGAATGCAGGCTTTGTATAAAAGGCAAACAAAAGTATGAAAGGATTGCGCCTCATCTCTGTAATTGTGGCAAATTAAGCGTGATATCTTATAATGCAAATAAATTTGTGCTTGAATAGTGAGAAAAAAATATACAGAAAGCAGAGACTAGAAATAAAGAGTAGTTTGTTATTAGCTGAGTTTTTGGTGCCAAATAATTCAATTCAATTTAATTTGTATAGCGTATCTCAAGACACTTCACAGGGTTATGTGAAGACCTTACAATATTATAGAAAGAAACAGCTCAGTCGTGTGAACGTGGGACTAAAACTGTCTGAAAGTTAGACTGAAAATAAATATACTGTCAGCAGTGGGATGTCACCTTGCTCCTGTGGAGGTAAAGTCCTGAGTTAAATGTGTGTATTGAATTCAACAGACAAAGCCACCTGCTCTTACTCACATATTTGGTTTCACGTCCCAAGGATTTTGGAAGGGTTGAATTGTTCTGCTGAAAGTGAAAAAGAGAGAAAGACAGAAAGGAAGAACTGAAAGTAAACAACAGAGTTACACAAGACTGTCTGGTGGGAAAATGGGGAAAAGAAATCATCTGAAAATTGCTCATCACTCTTTCGAATATGTGGCACTCAACTGCAAAAATGACTCAAAGGGAGACAATGAAAAGAAATTGTAGGTGGACTAGATCTGAACTTTGGAGATGTGAGGAGAAAAGCAAAATTTCGTTTTTTATCAAGTGTTTTGTTATTTATTGACTCTTAACCTCAAGTTTAAGTTTTCTCTTCTGCAGCAGAGTTACTTCCTCTTTTCCTCGTCAGTGACTGAATTTCACAGGTTTTTATCTCACACACACACACACACACACACACTTGTTTTCTGTCGAAACCGTGAAAGGTTTTCTCCTTTGATGAATAATGAACAGATGTCTTTTCATTTCTCATGCTGATGCTGATGACACAGTCAGAATTCACTTTTATCCCACTTCCAGTTTGTGTTTCAGTAAAACACAGTGTAAATCTTACTTTAATGATTCACTATTTTAGTTATATTTTTATTGTAGCTGAAAGCTGAGCTCCCATAACTCTGTTGCTGAGAGATGATCAAACCACAACAAGGATGCCGGAGCATCCAGAATCTTGCTTGTGACGTCGTTTCACATTGTTGTTGTTGTTGTGCACAAACAGCTGTCTAGTTACAAGAAACTGTCCCTGAACAAATAAATAATATCATCGCTCATGTATTTATACTGAAGAATGATACACTAGAAATTGCGCCTACATTTGCATCACTATGTGCGTAATGTCTCCATTGTGTGAACTTTAACATACAACCACACTTAGATATGTTAACAAAAGGTTATGTATTATTGCGGTGGCCCTGAGAGCTCAACGCACTGCAACTTATGTAAACACACAAATAGACAAAACACAAGCAAATTCATAAAAACAACTTCATCACTTTGACAAATCACATGCTGCCAATACTCAGGCTAATACAGAAACGCGCTGCAAGTAACACACGACAATGGAAGTGCTCACGGGACACAAAAAAGCGATGAACCTGGCTGGGACGCACTTGTTGTTCAATGCTTTTGAACAAAAGTCGCAAAGCAATGAAAAACAATTGCGTCACAGTCGAGTTCACCACTTTTTTTTTTTTTTTTGGTGTCCCTCAGGAAACATTCCGGGTGTCGTCTGTGCTACTTGCAGCTCGTTTCTGTATTTGGTTGTGTTGTGAGTATTTGCAGCATTGATGTTTTCTGAATTTGGTCATGTTTTGTCTATTTGCATGCGTTTTCTGAAGTTACAGTGCGTTGATCCACCGTATATTTCAGACTCTTTTCGAAACTTAGTTTTACTTTATTTCTTATTTTAGCCATTTTACTTTTTTTGTGTGTCTTTAGAATTTCAACAACCAGAGAGAGATTTCAAGCTATAAGTTACAGGATCCATTTAGTGGTTTTCATACTGGGAAAGGCTCTTCAAACTAAATGCATCTCTAAGGGTCAAAATGTCAAACTAGTGTTTTTATTCATCTTTAGGGGAAAATCAAGAGTTCATGAGCTGGCCATGCAGTTGAAGAAACACACTTTACCTGCACACCAGCGTTGGGAGTCGATGACCTGGAGGTCTGCGATGTTGCAAAAATAAACCCATTAAATCACTTTCGATTTCACACATCAACTTTTGGACACGTTTCATTTTTTTTTTTTTTTTTTATAATTGAGTCAACTCACTGCTGGAATGGAATTCGCCAATATCTCATCAATAACTGCGTAAAGTTCCTCCGACTGTTGCCGGAGCTGAGCAGGTGAGCACATCTGTAGGAAGCACAAAAGTTTTTGATGTCTGTTGTGTGAAGTTTGCAGTGAACACCAGCCGGTACTGTGCGGAGTAATACCTCAGCGTGAGTGTCCTCAACATCTCTGTCCAACGTGTCACAGGGACTGTCCTCTCGCTCTACCTGCTCGTCGATCGCCTGTGAATACAAAGCAGGGAGGACAGACTGAGTTTCCTGCCGCTTGCTTTGGGTGATTATACTCTCGACAACATTGCAGAATCTCCTTCAATTCATATTCAGCCACTCTGTATTCCTCACAGACAGCGTTCCCTTCTCTGAATCTCTTAATGAATCATACTGCAGTGTGAACAACACAACAATTTGTCAAATTTTCATGTCTTTTTGAGACTGATTTGACTTTTAATCAGGTTAAAAAAAAAGTGACAGTCTTTCAGCTGTTTTATCTATAGCTTGTAAATCCTAATGAAATTAGTTTTCTGTCTCTTTTTTTTTTTGCCTTACTAGTTTTTGCAATTACAATTAGAAATGCAATTGTCCATGAAGCCCCATGAGTGGCAATTTAGGATTTATCTTTTTCATGGAAAACTTCCCTTTCTAATGCAAGCTTTGTTGCTTATTCCCATTTTTCATTCCTCACATAGTGCTTCACATTGCAATGTTGGCGAGAGTCCCTGCATCAATCCAGCTCATTATGGCAGCTGGATATTTAACAGGATAACAAGTTGAATTACTGGGATTAGAGTCAAAAAAGTGAACTCACCTGCTGATCCAACAGGAGGGTGTTTGTGGGAATTGCAGCGAGTGATTTGTAGCTTAACTTAATCTTGTGTGTCTAGGGTTTATAGACAAGACAGAAGAGCAGACAATGACTTATAAATGAATTTAAAAGTGAAATTTCTGCCTTTCGACTAAAGACAGACTTCAGAGAATGTCTTATGGAAATTAATCATTTGTGTTTTACATTTCCTTGGGCATGCTTTTTTTCCCCCTCACACTGCCGCAGGCCACTGATCATGCATAAAACAGTCAGCTACACTCGAATCCTGCGCTCATCTGCTTCCACAGCGCTTCCTTGTTCGCTGCTCAGCTGGCTCATTTGACTGACGGTAAATGTCACCAAAAAGTTCAGCTACGACCAACTTTTCCACACTGACGGGCAAAGAAAACTACACAACTGCGTACCGATTGCTAATATTCAAACCATGGTGTGGCGTTACTGAGCTTCCAGCTCTCCGGCCTAGAAACCAGAGCTTTCATAAAGCCGCAGCATTGATTTTTTTACGATGATGGCTTTCCTTTCGCTTCAACATATGGTATTGGATTTCAGATATGTCAGTCGTTAGAATCCAGCAGTCTACAGTATGTCTGAAATGTCCACAAAGCGAAGACATATAACAACAGCAGTAAATGATACAGCAATGACTGACATCTAAAAACAGATTTGATATCCATCCACCGAGTAAGTGAAATCTGTTTATAACCACATGGTGTGGGAGAACAGTATGTCACACAGAACATATTAAATAATATCCTGTCATGCATACGGCAAAAGGAGCGGCTACCTTTCTTTTTTTACCCTCCCTGTCACTGCAGTCTGATATTCCACTCCCCGGCCTTGGGGAGGGCGTGATGGAGCGGAGGGAGAGAGAAGGCGACGGGGTGAGGTCTCTGATTGGTGGAGCAGGAGAAGGCGTAGGGGCGGGGGAGCTGGTGGGCGAAGGCCATCCCGGAAAGCTGATGGGGGTGTAGCGGGAAGGGGACAGGCAGTGGGCTTTGTGAAAACCTTGTGACAGTGTGGCGGGTTTGGAAGCAGAGCAGCTCCTCTGTGACTCACACCTTCCTGGTGTGGTGTTTTCTGAAGGAGGGAGAGGTGATGCTGCGTCTGTGCGTGCAGGGAAAACTGTGAGGCAGGGTGAGCGTGGCTGAGGGGGCTGAAGCTGAGGAGGACAGGGGGGCGGAGATCTCAGTTTTTGAGAAAGCGTATGAAGCCGTGAGAGAGATGAATTTGGCGAGCGACTCCATTTCTGGGGCGCAGAGGTCTCTTGCTCATTAATAAGTTTAGGGGACAGGGAGATAAGTTTTTTTAGGTTATTATCAGCGTGCCCCTCGAGGTGCATATGAGTGTTGCTGGGTTTCAGCGCAGGGGACTTGGAAATGGCGACATGTGTGTGTTGCAATTTTTTGGAAGTTGTGCAGTCTAATGTTTCTTCATGCTCTGGTGGAGAAACAGATTTGAAGTTTGAGCAAAACAGAGGCAGTGGAGCTTGGGGTAGCTTGTTGCTCTTCACTGGCGAGGGTGAAATAACCTGCTCCCATCTAGGTGCACTGTGAATTTGCTCCGAGCATCTTTTCGCATGAGTTTGAGCGCATGGTCTGCTGAGCTCATTTGACTGCACAGGCGGAGGGGCGGTGATACATCTAGTAGGTTCCCTGTGACCGTGGCTTTGACTATCTATAGATGCTGATGAGGAGAACCGAGAGGAAAACTCCAGGGGAATGGAGGCCACACTGGAGGCTGCTGAGCAAGCATTACAGAAGGACAGAGTCACGGGGTTAACAGGCCAGCAGGGGGTGTAAGGCCTCTGCAGAGCAGAGGACAGAACGGGGAGACGGCCTTTTCTCAGGATGGCAGTGAGGAGGGAGAGTCGGGTGAGAGGAGGCCGGTGCCGGGGAGGAGGCGATTGGGGACAGATGGAGGAGGACAGGCTCTCGCAGGATGAGAAACAGGTTTGAGGGATGTGAATCAGACTAGAGCCCGGAGCGAGAAAGTGCCTCTTGACCTGGGTGACAGAGGGGGAGAAGACGCCAGAGCGTACAGACGAGCAGGGGGAGACGGTGCGGCTGAAAGAGACGGGAGAGGTTACAGAGGAAAGCTGCACAGCAGACCAGCTCTTGTCTCTGTCCGAGCCCTCCGAGAGGATGGACTCTCTGGATGAAGCCAGCGTGGGGAACAAGTCTGCAGAGTCTGTGGGGCTCATTCTGTCGTCTGACACAGACGCTATATTTGCAAAGCAACCCGAGCTAACCTCAGCACGTCCAGAGGTATCGTGACACTGCCGCTGGGAAATGCCCCTGTGTTTATCAACAGCTGTTTCCATAGAGGCCGTGCCGGCGGCTGCGTGGTTGGGTGTATTTTCAGACTGAGCGCTGACTGAGGGAGAGGCTTCGGTGTGAGATAGGCTCACGTGATCCAGCGAAGGCTTCAACTGAAAAAGAAACAAGTTGTCATTAAATGGCAACTTAAGCATGCGTGGGTTTTTTGTGCTCTAGATGACAGTTTACAACCAAAGAAACAATTGCTGAAAATGGATTGTCACTCCAAATTGTTAAAAATAAAAATAAAAAGCCTCCATCTGCCACTCTGCAATAAGTCCATTATAAAGTAGACCCTATGAAAGATTTTTAATTATTTACATATTGACTTTTTATTAGATTCCAATTAAACCATCAGATTTCACTTTTCAATTAATCTCCTGACAGTGCTTTATAATGTGTGTCAGCTTTATAAGCTTACATTTTAAAATTAAACAGCATGCATAGATACAGATATACAGCAGTCTACACACACACACACACACACTTATATATATCTGTATTATAACTTTTCGTTATAGTATCTCAATGTCACATAGTATATGACATTGAGGGTGCTCTGATTGTACTTACTTGAAGTTCTGTCAGCGGTTGGATTATGTTTCCTGCTCCTCCCTCCAAAGAGTCTTTAATAAAGACTTTCTCTGCTTTGAAAATCTCCCCGTCCGACATGGTCTCCCCGGTTGTCTTCTCATGGGACACAGCTACGTTCTGACAGGAGAAAATGAAGCAAATGTTTAGGAGGAACTGAGCAAGTGTAACCCGAGAAAACCCTGAGGTGAACTTCAGCGAGCCTCTCTAAACTCAGGGGTGTGCTTGGTTTCACCACACCACATGTCCCACACATATAATTCACATGTGCACGCACATGTCCCGCTAACATTGGTGTAATACATGCCTCATGTGCAGAGCTGAACAAGTGACGCAGGAGGCTTGTAAATAAGTGAGACGGTATCTCCAAAGAGCGTGAGTCCAAACAGTAGTCGTCTTTGCTGCATTTATATCACTGTGTATCACTGTCCGCCACAGTATCTCTTTTCATACTACCATTAGAAGCCGCCCACGTTTTTAAATCCTACATACAGGAATTATATATGGACTCACTCAGCATGTCACACAACCTTAGGTTAAGTTTAGGCAACTAAAAAAAAAAACTGGTTTGAGCAAGTTAGTGGTCGTGCCAAACTCAGACATCATCCCTTAAAAATTACTGTGAGAGCCTTTAACAACTTCGTGTGGCAGGGGGTGTTGGGTAAGGGGAAGAATGTAGTAAGAGGGGGCCACAACACCACCCAGGGAAACACACCCCAGGATATACCATTTCTAAACTCTAGCTGTTTGTTAAATGGATATCAGGACACAAGCTTGTTAACTGATGTAATAGAAAAATTATATCCTGCACTCTGTATGAGCTGGCTTTGTATATCCCTGAATATGAATCTGTTCCCACATGTATGCTCCTTATCTGGTCCTGCCTGGTACAAACTAAGGAGTAGTTTGTCTTTGAACACACACCTGCTTCTTCTTGGCGGTTAGACAGTCAGGATGGCACCTACAATTGTTCACACACACATCCTGACCCTGCTTCCTTCTTTCTTTTCCTCTATAAACTTAATGTACACTCTTTGTTTGAATATCAGTCTGCAATCTCACTCTGTGTGACTGTACACTGATCCTTTGCAAAGCTCTTATTAAAATATATAAAGATAACTTGATCATTTTGTCAACTGTTCATATTCAGATTTCCACCACACTGATAAGACAGATGTGTTTTTGAATCCAACAGAATATCTTATTAGAAATAAAATATCAAATAGCAGGGACTGGAGCTGCTGAAAAGGTGAATTATATAAAAAGGCAAATGAGAATCAACTAATGTAAGGAATAAAACTATTTTATTCAATGCAAAAGTACAAGAGCTTAAAAATTTACAAAAAAAATTACTAAAGATTATCAATACTAAAATACCTAAAACCAGTCCAACATACATTTAGCAAAATACAAAAAAAAAAAAAAAAAAAAGGGAAAGTGAGCTGAGGCCACTGGTGGAGAGGCAGGAGTACACAGCGGTGCTACAACTCAGTCACCTCAGGTGCAGCACAACAAACCTCACCGCAAACAGGATCCAAAAATACATGTGTCCCAGTGCTCTTACTCGCATGCATAAAGGTGGGAGGACCTCACCTGGGGTGCCTAGCCTCCCAACCTGACAGCACTCAGCCACACTGCAAAAGAAAAGCTAATGCAAAAGCAATTATTTTTCATAACTTGTCCCATGCCTTTTGATACGTTTCATCTGACATTTTAACTATATCTGGTTGGTTGTCTGTTGAGACTGAATGTATGGACTGGGAATTTACAATTGAATTGCCCAGGGGGGATAAATAAAGTTGTCTGAACTGAACTGAAGTGATTAATCAGAGGTAAATAAGCAACTAGACTTCTAAACAGCCAAAGAATTAACAAAGAACAAACAAGGAACTAAACAACCCACAAACAACCCAGTCAACTAAATAATTGAAACCAATAAAGCAAAATAAATCAGGCAAAACAACAGCAGGTGAACGGCCTCTGGTACGGGGCATGAATGGCCCACTATGGATGAACCGGTGTAGAACTGGATGAGTCGGCACCGTGGCAGCCAATGCTACCAGCCACAATTGACAGGAAGCAGCAAGAGACTGAAAGAAGCCAGCAGGTGCCCTTTATAACCTGTTCCTGATGAGGAGGTTGGCTGGGGGAGGAGTCATCCCAGGGCTGTGTGTTCACAGGCCCCGCACTACCTGAAAGTGTTCACCACTCACACTGTTGTAATCTTGACAACAGTCATTTTTCTCATGATCATAAGAGGTTGATTGTCGGGAAACTGACTTAAAACAGTGACCTTTATATCAGCCTCACTTGTATTTACTCATGTTGTATTGTCTTTTACTAATAGCGGCTTTCCCAACTGGGCAACACACTGGCTACTATTGGTCCCATATCCATTAATTGATTCAGATGTGAGTGAAAACTTGAGCATTTCAGCACTAAACCCAAAGGGATTAAAGTCAAAAAACACAACTTTCTCTATGATACAAGGTGCTACAACCTAGAGGACAGAGCATCCAGAGACAGGCACATACTGTATGGTTTCATCTCACATTACTGTTGTGTGTAAACACCTGTCCAGCTAAACAAATAAAAATGTCCTCAACAGTCTAAGGAATATTTGTTACTTATAATCGAAGTTGCTTTTTTTTTTGTAACCTTCACTGCATTTTGTGCCCAACAGACTTTATTGGCGATGCCCCCCGGATAAATAACCACCAGAAAACCTATTTCAAAAGGTGTGGCTGCATGGAATTTGTGTTATTTACACAAATGGAAATTCATTCTATTCGTTTAAAAAATGTAATTCTATGGGAAATTTGATTGCGGTTTATTATATTGCACGAACTCGGGTTAAAGGAATATTCTAGGATAATATGTGTGACATTTAAGTGGAGCTAAAAATGGTAACTGCTAATGACATACATCATTACTGGCATGATCTCCCCCAGTTCTGATAATTATGATCCTAAAAATACATATGACACCATCATATAATGACAGCTTTCAGTTTTCTAAATCAATTAAATAATTCTGTCAGTGATGCTGTTTTGCTTTGCTGTAGATAAGCAATAATCATAGGCTGCCAGAATGACTTTTATTCCTGAGACTTTATTTGACATACATGGCAGCTTATGTCAATAATATCTTCACACACCATGTGTCAAAGGCAGTTGCATTAGAACTTCAGTCATTAGCACTGCCAGTCCACATCTGTTGCCATAAAAAACTCACTTTATGCATGCTGTGACGCCCCTCCCACTGTCTTTGAGGTTGTCCTTCCCAACCTCAGCAGGCAGTAGGTTGACATGTGAGGGTTGTCAGCTGATGTTGTTCACCTGAGCCTTGTCCTTATATGCTCTCATCCAACTGCTGATATCCAATTTCTATCAAGCTTTTGCCTCTGCACATACAACACCTCCACACCACATGCCACTCATCCATGTGCTGCTTTCACTAATCTCGCTAATTTTCACTCTCCATAGTTGTAATAAATTGTTTTTCACTATAACCTTTTGCATGGACTCTCTCCTTATCATATTCCCTGAGCCAGTCTGTGACACATACTAAGGTCATGCAAGAGTAATAAATTATAGGCATTACAGCACAAATCAAATGTTTCTACTTAATTTTATCACACTCTGTGTGATTATGGTTTTAGGCAAATTGCCTCACAAATTAAGATGAATACATTTGCTTAATTTATTCTGGTCATATTTAAATATTTAAATTTTGTGCCGCCTCTTGGCAGAAACAAAATGTCTCAGAGCAGTTGCACTGGGTATTTCAGAAAGAAAATATATGTGGTGCACAGTGGGTCGAGTAGGAATATAAAACCCTCTAATTTACAGAAAGATAATTAGGCTGGGAAGCTCTGAGCATTGTGTGGTAACTCATATTTCAAATCCTTGGTGGCCTCAGGATGTAAATTGATAATGATGACTTGAGGTTACTTTACTGATATAGCTACTGCAGAGGGACATGTATGCAATTTCTTTCTTTTGAAAAGGACATTTTGTGAAGTGCAGGCTGCTCCAAATCACAGTGGTGGATTAATGAGGATAAACTGTCTCACAGGTAATCCTTTACATTCTGCCCATTGGCATCTCGATATAGAAGCTCTTGCCTCAGGGAGTATTACTTATCTGTTATGTGCAGATACACAATGTCATTTAGACTACTCTAAGCTGCGAACAGCTGAACTATTTTGGATTACTGTCAAACCAAATATTATTTATAAATAATAAACCAAACAACAATTATAAGACAACATATATGCTTTTTTGATTATAGTATACCGTAAGCAAAGCTAGCTAGAGCCAGCAGGCAATTAGCATAGCTTACTGCAAGCAGGGAGAAAAAGCTAGCTTGGCTTATTAATCAGTGAGCCATATAGGTGCTAGCAGATGGATATCAATACCATTGGACAGAGCCAGATTAGCTGTTTCTGCATTCAAACACAAGACTATCAGTGGTCACTTCTAACTCTTGGTACAAACAAGCATTTTTTCAAACTTTTTTTTTTTTTTTTTGCCATAATTTTTTTTAGCACAGCTTGTCAGTGCTGTAAAGTAACTAGGTTTAACATTTACTGTACGGGAAGTACAAGCACCAATATGTGAGTAATTCCACTTTAAGATGCTTTGTATTTATACTCGATACATTTCAGAGGGACATATTGTTTATGTGTTTTCCATATTATCATGTAAAATATGATGCATTGATGTAGATCAGGTTAAGTAGATTGTGTCCATCTCAACTGGCTGCAAGATTTGAATAATATTTACATGTTCTTGTATCAATAATTATAATCAAACAGAATAACTGATAACTTGATAATATAACCCTCTAAAAGGAACCAAATGCAAAATGAGTACTACTCTACTAATACTTGAGTAAAATCTTGAATGCAGGACTTTTATTCGTATTTTTTTACATTATGGTATCGCTGCTTTTAAAGGCTCTGGTTCCACTACTGCTAATGATAAACCAGCAAAGCCAGATTTGGTTTTTGAAACTAAACCAAAGACGGACAAACAACTAATGAAGTGGAAGTGGAGTTCAAATTAATACATGGCAGAGGGAATTGAGCACAAAGTGGATTCGAACACACACAACACACAATCTAATATTGTGCATACATGAAAAGGTAATACATCTTATGTATGCTAAAACACAGGGTTGATCTGAGTGTAGCTGTGTAGTTTCATGTTGTCAGCATATAATATGAAGGGTAGCTACTTCTTTAGGTAATAATGTGGGGGGGGGGCGCCCCTGTGAGAAGACCTTTGAAGTCTCACACAGGCAGCCAGGGAGCTGACTTCAGGCAGCAGAAGCAGTTAGCTATCCCAAAGCACCCAGAGCTGTGGTGGTGCTGCTGTGATATTCATGCTGGTTCCAACAGCACATTAATCCCTTCAGCAATTGACACCACTGCTGGGACAGATCAGCCTCTGGGATGGTTGCTGTCAATAACTATCACTTGAACATTTGTAATTTGTGTGCATAAAAATTGTTCCTACACAAAGTTTGGCTAAAGTTAAAAGAAAAGAAAAATGAAAAAGTATCTGTCGACAGAAAAAAAAACATGTATTGTAAAGAAATATCAATGCTGTGTGTGTTTTTGAGTGTTTTATTTTGTGAACTGAGAAATCAGAAGGACATCAGAATGACTGATGATTAGGTGTCTGGTATCACTGACAGCACGGGAACATCTGACTTGCTCGTAGGATATATAAATGGATAATGACATGGAATTTGTAACAATCAATGATGTTCATTTCAACAACAGTGGAACGCTTGAGAAATCTGTTTCAGAGTAAATTTATATTTTTTATTTTGTATTGACAGCTTCTCTCCAGTTTTAATGTTTACAGATGCACATTGTGAAATATGAAATAATTACAGCTTGTGAATCTTTCTTATTTCTCCCCGAGGATGAGTCACACTGATTGCTGTTCCACCGACTGAAGTCAAGGAAGTCAAGGATGTAATTGCTAAAATGCTGCAGGTAAGAGAGAGATTGATTTTTCCCCAGTAGCTAAGGTGTGTCCTTTAATCTTCAGGCCACTGACATGATTAATCAGTGGAAACTAGAGTCATTTGAAAAGGCTCGAAAATTGCAGAATTAGATTTTCTGACTCATGGTCAATTTTAGTTTCACTGTCTGTTCAAAAGAAGTTACAATCCAGAGTAATCTCATTATGTTTCCCTTAAAGTCCTTATTAAGAAACACTCACATGCAACTTTCAAGCTATTTTGTTTCCACTGCTGGAGGTTTTCGAATAAATACTGTTCAAAGTGAGATTTTTGGAGAAGTACTCTACGGTAAAAAAAAATATTATAAGTCAAGGTTCATAAGTGTGATAAAAAATTATGAATGTCATTTTAAGAATAAATGGAGAGTGTAAAACAGAAGGGCATAGCTGTCACATCAAATATAAAAGGAAAGCGTTCATATTGAGGCCATCATCACTCTTAAACTGGGACAGTGTGGCTGCATTTCAACTGCTCAGACGGGCAGAGTCGGCTTATTTTCAATACTGATGAGTCAACATTCAACCGAAATATGAAGCGTTACAAAGTGGAACCAGTTCAACCAGAGAGCGACGTCAGGTAATGCTGCATTCCATTGACCTCAGGAAGTCAATGACATCACACCCGAGTTGACCACGTTCCAGTGCAACATGTCAGAAGCTTGTTAATTGTTGTTGCTTTCTTGTTGTTATAATTGTCAGTAATTGCAGTTGACAACAACTCATTACGCAGTACACACCGTAACAACATGTCCACAGATAGAGGTTGGACAGTATTGTGTGTGTACAGCTGATTTAATGAGACACAAATAAGACAGAAATGCTAATAAACAGCGCCTTTGCCTATCGACAAAACGTAAAGCTTCTGAGAGCAGCCATATTGGATTTTGAGGTCAGGGGTCGGTTAGGTTGTTCCAACTTTCTGAGTCAGAAATCCAACTTGAAAATTCCAATCTCCCAGTTCAAATGGAACGCAACATAAAACTACGAGCACACAGAGACATTACAAGATGGCAACACAGAGAAAGGTCTGTTACCTACTGTAAACAACATGTACAGTATATAGTCAGCACATGCATTTTGATAGACGCCCTGTTATAAAAGCAGTAATCATGTTACAAACAATGAAAATCAGTTGGCGGTGATATCGCTTTTCAATCTTCAGAGTGTGTGCTGCCGCTGTACCTTATTTGGTGTTCCTGTGAGAGCTGCAGATGTCTCCTCTTCACTAATAATGCTTTGAAATGGTAGTTTGTGCACCACTGGCACAAATGTGAAAAAAGAAGGCTTAGATGGCACTCCTATTGAAACCTGTAAAACAGAGAAGAGAAACAATTTGTCCAAATGTTACAAGCTCTTCGCAACAATTTCCCAGTCATTTCCCTTCAAGCACTGACACTTGGTAAAAACAAGTGTGTCTGGAGATTACTTATAGTAAATGATGAGTCAAATATAATAGGACTATTAAAACACTATCTGTGGGGCTCTCCATAAAATCTCTGTTTCAGTCACTCTCAAAATATTTTCTTCTCACATCTGAATAACACTGAATTTCATATTCACAATATCTGATTTCTCTCTGCTACGCAGGGTTATGTAACTATACCCCGACACTGATGATCCATCGTCACACACATTCACAGATTAGGCAGTTTAGCACCCTGCAGCTCAAAGCCTTGACACACCCTCACTCAGTGAGGAGTAATGAGCTGCAATTAAATCAGCTCAGGTCCTCGTGTGCTGCAGGCACCTGACGTCTTTTACATGTGCTGCGCTGTTAGTTTTCGCGAACAAGTGCTTAAGTTATGTAACTGAAACTCTGTGTAAGTAAGACAAAGATGCTCCTTTGTTTTGAACAAAGGCTCTGCAGACTGAAACTTTGACAGCTTTGAAATCCACAGGCCTTTCCCACTGCAGGGTCAGGGATAACAACGTGTGCCTGATTCAGGAGCAAGTTCATTGGAATTAAATTTCAGCACAGCCCCTGAGGTGACACTAAATGCAAGTGACAGGTACTCTTGCAGAGCTGGTGGCGGTGCCGTCGATCATGATTGGTCAAGCTGATTTCTCACATAATAGATTACATTACAGCAAGAGGACAGCAGTAGACAATCCTCTCTCTCACTCCTGCATCTGTATCAAATACTGGCTGGACCAGCGATGCAGTGGACACAGGTTTGGGTAACAAACTGGCCCCAGCAGCGCCATGGATTCAGTAAAGACTGTTTGTGCATGAAAATGTGATAGATACAGTGTGATAGATGCTCTTGCCAAAAAAGTGAAAATGCACATTTCCCAAAAATGTCATCAAACTATTTCTTTTAAGCATCTTTGTACATAAAGGTGTAGATTGTGCACTTTCTGCACCTATCCCACTGTTTGCATCTGGTTCCATCTTTATAGAGTGGCGTCTTGCTTCATGGCTGGTTTATGATATATTTACATCAATTTCCGAGTGATTACAATACAGTGAAAGCTCCACTGGCATGTAACATACATGAAAGGCATTGCTATAGGAAAATAATGTTTTTAAAGCATCCATTAACCTATACAGCAACACTTGACACCCAAAACTGATGACTAGCCCTTGGCCTCAGGATGTCATTTTTTTGCATGACTACTAAAAGATGAAACAGCAGAAAAAGGACTTGTGTCAAACTTCTCCACATCAGTGTTGACATCATAAAACAACTCCTGGGAAGCAGGTCCAACCTTGTTACTGTTTGCAGAGGTGACCTCTCAGCTTTTCCTGAGCCTGTATAACCTGGTGACTCCATCACAGCATTTCACGCTATCAGCAATAATGGGTCGATTCTCACTGGGGCCACCCATGCTGTAAATGTATGGGGAGGCAGATTCACAAATTGTGGTGGGTAAATGCTTCACCTTCATGTATGTAAGACAGTACATTTCTGTGTGATTATGATCTTGAAGGAAGTCATTAAAAAAAAACAATATCTTTCCAAATATAAGGCTTACATTAAATTGCAAAAAGAATGCATGTCAATAAGCGTGGAGAAGTGAGTGGAGTCACGCTATATGGTAAATGCAATACTTGCAATGCAAAGGCTTCAAATTGTTAAGAAAGTGTCACAGTTTGGGTTCAATGCATTTTTTTTACATTCTGGTTGTGTGGAAACATTTCCTATTTATTTCTACTGCAGCAATCAAAGCACACACTCATCAAAAGCACTTTCGCTGCTTACTAATCACGCTTTTCATCTACACGGTGTTGTCGGGTCATCTGCAAACTGCAAACTGGAGGGTTAGGGCATTGAAATTTCCCTCACTAATCAGTGGAGGTTATTGTAGCAGATACTTGAGACTCTATTAAAAATAGATCACACAAAATCTCTGCACGTTGATGTAGACACAGTTGAAGAATTAGCATATTATTAGGTTGTGATCCACCTTTCATCTCACAGTTTCACTGCAGACAAAAGTTCAAGCAGCCAGCTCAGATCTTATTAACATGTGGCAGGTTAAATACAGGAAGAGGATGAGAAGCGGCTGCAAAACAAAAAGATTACCACAATGTTTACAAATCAGGTTTCTCCTAGAACTTCATTTTAAAACGTAAAAGTTGTATTCATTATTTGAATGACATATTGTGGCTCTTGCTAAAACGATTTCAGATTTTCTTTTTTCTTTTTTCTTTTTTTAATATAATTTCTTACTTTATACATCATGTAAAATAATCACATGCAGGTTTACAAGCACGGTTTGACTGCACTCGATGAAAACCAGAATGTGGCAGTCCATACTAAGGCACTAGCACTACATTACAATTTTGAATGTGGGGGGGCGATTATATCTGCTGTATGCTCAAAAGCATGACAACTCAACAAGTGGAACACCAATGCTACTTTACAATGCTTTGTGTTCTTATTTTTTGGGGTGCTGGGTCATTATAACACATCACATACTGTATAAAGGTAAAACCACTGAGTTAAAGAACTGAAGTGCACGCATTACATTTGTGTGTTTTTGACATATTTAACCTACAAGTTCAGATGTAGTCCCAGATCTGAGAGAATGATTCATGAATGTGTAATGAAATGTAGAACGATAAATAAAGCATACCTATTCTAGTGAGGGGCTGGCTCACAGGTCGTAAAAGTAAAGAGAAAAAAAAGCAGCACATCAATGGTAGTGATGCAATACCTCAATTTTAAATTCTATAAAGCAAGGCTGTAGCTCTTCTCATTCTTGGTGTATAGGACAGGCATCTCAAATCAGTTCAGAGGGCAATAAACATGAACATAGAGAACATAGAGATAGGTCATTCATAGCAAAGAAAAGCCTCTGACCTCAAGGTGCCCACGTGTTCTACCAGCTATTACAAACTAGAGAAGCACAGAGGAAGAATTACAAGGAGGGAGAAAGAAATGTCTGGATACTCACATTCAAAATTAAGCACAAGGGAAAAGTCTTATCCGCTGTCAAAACAACAGTATTTGCTTTGAATGTCAAGTTAGCGGTCTTATCCGTGAGTTGTGTCCAGTTAGTCAGTAAAAGAATTACAGCTCCAGATGTTACCTCTCTCCGGGATCATAATGTTGTTGTTTTGTACCAAGAAGATCACATTTATTCAAAGTGAATGTGTACTTTCTGAATTTAATCATATTATACATTCATCAGGGAAGATTTCTGTGGCCAGAAACAGGTAAATATATAAATGACTCATGCAGCAATAATTAGTTTCTAAAACCACTACAGTTACTGGTTAATATAATGAGTTTATAAAATATGAGATACAGGTAATACAAAATAGCTAATAGAATAGTTAAAACAGTTAATAGAATAGAATAGTTGATAATAGAATAGTTTTTATTTCACATTTTGAATGTAGGGCCTGTCATTGTAAGGGATTTTTTTTTTCTTTTTTAATTGCGGTATTACTTTAGAAGAAATGCATCTTTCATAGTAAAGAATGCGAGTACTCCTTCCATCACTTTCCTTAAATACATGCCACCCATGTTTGTTGTGACATGACACCCACTTTCCGAGCCGTGAGAAGGTTCACTTTTACTTTAAAGGGCCAAGATATCAAAAGGTACCAGAGCATCTGTACTCAGCTATAAATAAAGAAAAATAACAAATGCCTTGGCTAAAAATAATCACGTGCCGGCTTATAAACTTGTTTATGTATTTATGTTCTTATGTAACCTCCCTGTTTGCCTGTCCTCTGTAGTCATAGCAGAGTAAGTTTATACTGTGAAAGGTTAGAGAAGAGCGTTTCCTACTTGCCCATTGGAGCCCTCTTGAATGTTAAATCGCATCGAGCGTTGCCGAGGTCATGCCGTCCTCACAGATCACATTTCCAACCACCACTGGTTCACTGTGCTACATATCGCCTCGCGGTCTGCGTGCTCTCACTCAGTTATTTCTTGTGGCATGTCAGACCTGTCCCAAACACCAAATACAAGCAGCACTAAATCATTTCCTGAAGCAGACCACCCTGTGTGGGGGGCCTTTAAAACGGACACTCATAAACACTGACCAACCAGACAAATATACTTTAAGGAATCATGCTACTGAATGAATGCAAGGGATGTTGTTCCTTGTGATAAAGGTTGTAATAGGCGTTATCGTTATTATATAAATTTAGCTCCTTGTGTTCATTAATGCTGCATTGTATTTAAAAAAAAAACTAAATCCAGCTTTAAGTAGAACCGTATACTTTGCAAAAGTTTTACATTAATTATTCAGTTCAGTGTCTTGAGATGAAGCACATTGCTGTGCAGAAATAAAGCACAATAACTGCTGTAAAGCTGTGCTCCACAGATGTTAAAATCTATATATGAGCAGTTCATGTTGTGTCCCAGTAAAAGCATAAACGGTTGGGTGTGTCACTTAGTAAAGAGTTTAATTACAGACAAACACACAGCCCCTCCCTCCAGAGTAGATAAGGCAGGCAAATATAGCCCACTGCCAGCTGCTACTGAGCACATTGGGTTATCTCTCCAGATTATAAACAAACCTTATGAAGACAAGTCTCAATGCAAGACAAAAACAACAGACAAAAAAAAATGCATGATGATTTTCAATAGCAGCACACTTATGGTTAACTGTTAGTGTGTTGTTTAACATCTCAGAATTACTCACATACTTTCAAGGCAACAATTTTTGTGATTAACATATGTATAATGGATCATGATGGTTATCTAAATGACCTTACAGTGCAGTGGTAAAAAGGGGAAAAAAAATATCATAAAAGTGAACATTTACTTATTTACATGCAATTTTCATGAATTGTTAACAATAATATGCATTTACATTAATTCTCATAACCTGTAGTTTGTTACTGTGCATTTAAATTCGTCTGAGAGCAGTTTTGGTAGCCATTATTCATCTGAGTGTGACAGGAAATAACAGGATAAGTATCAGGTTGCTGCACAGACTGTGTCTATGTGTTTATGTGTGTAAGCCTGGAAGGTGGCAGCGGGTTGTAGAGGGCACAATGGGGGGGTTAATAGTGGTGATGGATTAAAACCAAATTCTTTAACTGGTTTCATTTTCTGGCAGGATTTAGCTTTGAGGTTAAATCCTCATTTCAAAACAGAACATAAAACCATATAGAAAAGTGAATGCAGGTCAGTGATATTACTTAAGCCTTTCAACAAATACCCAGCAAGAGGTTTTTCATTTGGTACATGTTTTCAAAAGAAAAATACCTTTTTCCAAACCCTCTTACCTTTCCCAGACTCTTATTCAAACTGTCCATTTCTGCTTCAAACGCCTCTCCATCCAGACGTGTCGCATGTGTCCAGGCTTCAGAAAACTTCTCTCAGGATAAATGTTGATCAGGGCAGATACAGAAAGCAAGATGCCCCCTCTTCAGCACTGTCTCCCGAAGTTCAAAGTGTATTACTGTTGGTGTGTGTATCACCCTGCAGATTTCCTTTTATAGACACATAATAGCCACAAATAGCTTGCAGACAGCAGTCAGCCTGCTGGGCACCAGTAACAATGTTCACACTGGGAGCTACAAGCAGCACAGCTCTGTGTCCCCGGGTGGAAAAAAAAAAGCCTCAATTGTTCCATTTAATTTTTTCTGAAATAATCTCTCACATCTTTTATCTCAAAGGATGACTTCAATTGTGTATTACTCCCCTGCATGAGTTCTTCATATACATATATATATATATATATATATATATATATATATATACAGCCATAATATGACAAACATGATGCAGAATACATAACCAATTTTCTTGTCTGACTGAGCTCAGATCAAAAATGAGAGAGCTGTGGATGATTGTATTGATCGGACACTGAAATAAGGAAAATAAGAGCAGTGGAGAATAAAACAATTTGATCTACAGTATCTGTGTCTTTCTCCACCAGGGTTACGGATGTGACAATTTAACTCATTATGATCTTAAATATTCATGAATGTTTCTTCTCTTTTTTTGGTATTTTATGGTGAAGCTGTAGTAAGTAAGTTAACTGAATAAAGGTAACTGTTCGAATGTTGAAAGCTCAATGTAGGTGTCATGGCAGGAATAAAAAATGCAGATATTTGAAAAGATTCTAATTTTCAGCCAGTATAGATTCTGTGTTTTTCAATGCAGCACATTTTTTGATATAAATAACATAAGATGTTCATTTAGCCTGCGGATGATCTAAACCCTTGCCAGACCGCAGACTGATGTGGCCAAATCATCTCAGCATGTTCCCAGTAATTAGTTATCAGGCAGCTTGTAACAAATTCATTTATTTGCGTGTTTGCCACTGCATTGACTTGTCTGTTGCTTTATCAGTGAGTGAAAGCAGACCTCTGGAGTGGATGTTAATCCTTTAAGTACACTACTTTCTTCATTCCTGTCACAGCTGTTCTTGTCTATTTCCACCCCACTGACTCCCTCCCCCCGTCTGTCTGTGGCAGTTTCACACAGGGACAATCACAGTAAGACAACACAAGCACATGTTCCCCTTAATTTCACGTCTGCTGTTGCATACTGTAAGGAATATTGTAATTTTGAATTCATTCTGAGTGGCTCAGGATAAAAAAGCACCTGACAAGTGCCCGAAATGTTAATATGTAAATGCTTTTGGGCATTAAATCTTAAGCATCTTGATAGCAACAAGTCTTAAATTATAACCCTAAAGCACTAAATGGTTGTCATATAATCCTGTTTCCCCAGATTAAAGTCATTTATTTTCTCTGATTTCTGGCATTTAACATTTGACACTTATTATTAGCTTTTAGCCTCGAGGAAATTCTCTGATACTGGAACATTCAATTGAGTCTTGTGTTACTCCATCAGTGAACACCAGCAGAGATGCATCTCCACACAATACAATACAGAGAAACATTTACTTACTTGCTTTACTTAGAAATAATTTTACTTACCAATATTAACAAAGTGAGGTGCAAGTTCTGCAGAGAGCTCCCATCACTCTCAAATAAGGTGTCCACACACAGTTTGAACTGTAGATACTCGATTCCTGTAAATGAACAGAAGTTTCCACTTAATTGACAAGCTGACTTTAAAGTGTTTTTGAAAGGATTCTGTTTCAAAATATCCTGAGAAAAAATTTATGTTCCTGGTAGCCAATCATCCATGTGTATCTTATTTAGCATATACTGTAAGAATAAAAGTATGAACGCACTAGTAGAACAATGAAGAATAGAATTTTACTAGAACATAACCAGCAAAGATGATATTTAATAATAGGCTACAGCTAACTGCAGCTTGAGTCTCAATTTTTAAAAAAAAAAAACACCTGCTGCTAACCCAAGAGTATGAAAGATGAAATGCTGAATGATTCATGCTTGGTAGTCAGAGCAGAAGCCTGATATTTGCTGGTGCCAGTGAGGGTGAAAATGAAACCCTATTTCACTCTGTCAGATATGCTAATGGCTATCATTAGCCTAGCCTAGGTTTTAGGACTCATTCCTGTGGCACACTTTAGTTAATTTAGGTAATCGTTTACAACATTAGAAAAACTCTATGTCAACTGTATGTAATGGCACAGGCACACTAAAATATTAAAAAATCCCTTACCCCTCACATTTGCCAGTAGTATTGCTGCGCTAACAATAGCTACCTACCAATTCTGGTCTGCATGTGTTTAGTAAACTAATCTGTTTTCTATTACAATCAAATCTGCCAAGAGAATAATGCAGATATGAATTGACCCAGCATTTTCCTTCATTAAAAGATTAAAACTTAGTTCCACCTCTATTGGCTGGTGAGAGTTGATGAGAAGTTGGCAGTTTGAACAAATGGTTAAAGGATTTTTTATTTTCTTGGGGAGAACTTGACCTTTTCCCCTCTTTGCTCTTTCCGTCCAAAAACGACTCTTAGATGTTTTCATCACAACATATAAATTATTTAGTTTTCTTTGACATTTAAAGTCAAGACGTTGGATGCATCACAGTGAAGAAATGCTTTATAAAATAAAAAGATAAAATAAAAGACATGTGTCATCACAACCCCCCACCCTAAAATGGTTGTTTCCAGCGCTCATTCAATTATAGTTTGTTAGCCAGCAAAGTTTTTCCACACTTTTTCCAGACATTTAAATTGTGAATGCTGTAACAATGTCGATTTAAGGTAGATTTTGTCAGTCTAAAGCAACCTTTCTGACAAAACTTTTATGACATTATTTGCAAGACTTAAAATCACTACAGTGGATTGAGTCATCCAAATTTATGCTCATGCTCCTCAGGTGGTACTCCCACTGACTTCACATGAACACCTCTTGAGACAGACTCATACCTCACAATAGGAGCCTGACCTGCCAGTAATTGACTCTGAATTGAATCTCGCACACAAGATGTGCTTTTCAACAAGTTGTGTCCCCAGAGGATTATCACATAGCAGACAGCCATCACTGACACCACCACTGATAAAAAACAAAAACAAAAAAAACAAAAAAATGTAAGTAGTGATGTCACTTTTTATGTGGTCTACAGCAAACATACAGAGGATGGACGAAAACACGAGTCTAATATGTTGCAATCCAGTACAACATCACCGCAAATTACAACCTCAAATATCTGTTACACCGACACCTTTCTGACACACTGTCCACACTGTTCATTCAAGTTAGTGTTTTTGCAGGACTCTTTTGTACTGAATTGCAGGATACTATGCAGGACTGAATGTCACTGTGTTCATCCTCTGCACATAGCCAGTGTGCAACATCAATATGGATTTGTCTGTCCTGCCACTCAAAGAAAAATAAAGCCTCTAGGAATAATATATTTGCACTTTATTTAGGAAGTGAACACTGAACAGTTAACTCTTTTGAGAATATAAAAGCTGTGAAATAATACAAGGCAGGTATTAACATCTATACTTTGTACATTCTAGGCTTTGGATGCAAGATTATAAATTCCTCCAGTGTTTTTTTTTTCTTCTTTTTTTTTTTTAAGAAACATTTCTGCACAGTGCATAATCTCATGAGTGTAAATACAGCAGGTGTGAGACGACGCGAAGCAGAGTTCCTGTCTGTCTCTGAACTCTGCAGGACTCGGACTCCCTGCCGTGCACTCACTTCAGCCATGTGGCATTTTATCTCGGTACAGACTATAAAAAGTTCAAGGGCCTCACATTGTCATAGGCGGAGACGCTATTTACCAGCACAGCCATGGCTTACAGTACAGTGATGTGAAGTAGAGGTAGCCAGCAGAATTCATTGTTTAATTGACTGTATGTAACGTTATGTCATGTAGCCTATATCATTTGGGCATTAGAGAACGGTCTGCTCATGTTTTACTGTTCAGTGTAGTTACACAGGCAAAAACTCTGTAGGTTTTAGTAGTAAAAATAAAGTCGTTAAGTTGCCCGATTCTTGCAAATGACTTTAATATCACCAAATACTATTAGCAGCAGTTGAATCTGATAGACAAAAAGCTTGACAGTAAAAAACACATTCCAACAGTAAGCTTTCAATTAATCCTCCACAGTATCATCACTGAAAATGCGTCAGTATCTTAAAAAAAAAAACAAAATATCTGGGTAATAACAGTCTGTGTCCTTCATGAATCTCCACTGTAGTCAGGGTGGATAGAAAGCGCTGTCAAAACAGTCAGTGTGTGTGCGTCTGTTAGGAATGTCAAAGTCGTGTAGCATATCCCTGCCGGGGCTCTGTGTCAGGAGCTCCACATCTTCATCTGAGGTAGAGGGATGAGTGAGGATGATCCGTGGGATCTGTCAGATGATTGCCAGAGAAGGCAACAGGATTGGAAAAGGAAAATAAGCAGGTCATCATTTGATATGTATAAGCAGTGTAGTGATGTGAAATCTCAGAAAAAATAATGTGATATAATTATTATAATTTGGAAAAATGAGGGGATTTCATTGTGAGATAATATAATGGGCGCTTTATCCTTGTAAGGGATGAAGAACCTGCTTACTGTCATTGTGTGCTTGCCAACTTGAAGCAAATCATTTTTCATTAACGCCTCCGCCTCAAGTTTAGATGAGGTCCTATTCAGGTCACTCTCCAGATCAGACTGCAACAACAGAAAGACATGAAGGAAGAGTTTAAGAATGAGGGAAAGTATATGTTTTTTTGAAGGCATAATCCACAAATGGCTTGAGGCACATTGTAAAAACAATGGTGAAAGTGTATTCTGATTGTGCTGCGACTTGCGTAAACCACCCACAATGCTGTTGCCGTTGCAGACAACCGCCTCAATCTTCTTGGACAAACAGTCCTCCGCGCTCTCCGTCTTGGGCTGTTTGCTGCAGAGCTGTAGTCCAGTCACATCCTGAGGATCCTGAGGATCCTGAGGCTCACGCAGGTCACACACCTCTCGAGGTAGCAGCCTCTCTCTGAGTACCTTCATCTTGATACAACTCCCGGCATTCCTGAGGGCACTGACCGCCTCGTGGTGGGTCGCTCCCTGCATGTCAAGGCCGTTGACCTGGATGGAACATGATCACGTTAGTAAGGGCACGAGTCAGATGTGAGGAATTGAGTCACAAACACATACACATAGCATAGGGTCTCCGATAATGGAATATCTATCTACTCCCACTACAGGCACTAAAAAGGATTTCTAATCAATTTTAACCTATCAATGTGTGAGTCTAGAGATTGATTTTCAGTTTTTATTTGCTATTTTCTATCTCTGAGCCTTGGGTGTCTTGCTGGTCTTATGATGCCCCCAATTGGTCATAAAAGGAACAACAGCAGGAAGAAGTCGAGCTTTACAATGATATTCCAACAGCCAATATAAAGTGTATGTATGAGATTTCCAATCAGACAACAATATTTCACACGTCGGCTTTATAGATTTTACAGCCAGTGAATAAGAAATCATGAAAAGAGATGACAAACATCAGAAAAATGATTCCCCTCCTACCTCCAGCAATCTATCTCCAACATGGATCCCTGCCTTTTCTGATGGCCCCCCTTTTGTTACTCTGGAAATAAAAATGCCCTGAAAGGGAATGAATATATATTATATACATATACATCATATTGTATATATATATATATTTAAGCTACATTTTCTTGAAGATGAACGTGCACTTGTTGGAGTTTAATCAAGGAAAACCAAGGAGACCATCAGAGGATCAAGACCGCTGCTTTTCATTATCCTCGTTCAAACGAACAAGTCTGTTGCAAGAGATTGAGCAATGCCGGCTCCTCTGCACCAGCACTCACCTCATCATGGTCTTTGTAAGGCAGAGAGCCCTTCCCACCGGCAATGCTGATTCCCAGACTACCCCTCTGGCCAGACACTTTGATCTGCAACTGAGAGGAAATTGTTTCATTACAAATAAAAAGCTAGAATTTATATGCAGCTGAGATCTGACTGGAGCAAAACAAAAGTAAAATTAGCAATAATTTGCCTCAATGAACAGGCTTTCCTGCAGTGTCTAGTGCGACCCCCCAGAAATAATTTGACATTTATGAAAGATACAGTATGCAGTTACTCTTAATGGCACTTGGGAGATGAATGATTCCTGAGGAGGGGTCTTCTCTGTCACCGAAGAAGATTTCAGATGCCCTGTGATGGAGGAGACCTTTATGTTGTGGACAGGGTCTCCTTGGAGACCGGACCCAGCATTAAGAGCTCTGTGATGCTGAAATGTCCTGCCCTCTCGGGTTTCACCTCTCTGAGGGCGAAACCGCCGTGGTAAGGCATCGCTCTCAGACAGCTGGCCTGTAGCGTCCTGATAAGAAACAAGTGGAAGCTTTTACTGTGTTGCCTGCAAGATACACCAGTGCGGCTTTATATTTAACTTTGAAATTACTCGCAGTACATTAGCAAAAGGAAAGACAGAAACATTCAGACCATACTTTGGTACATAATGTACAATAACAAATCGGGAATAAGTGGAAACCTGCACCAACACTTGAGGACAATCTGCAGTGGAGGTGCTAATAAAAATGAGTTTCCCCATATCAAGAGAAATCAAGATAAACAATATGAAATGGCTACATTGAGAAACCTGACCTCCTCAGGTTGCTTAATTTCCTCTGCGTCCTTGTCTGCGCCGGAGCAGTGACCACACACACTGTCGCTGGCTGGGAACAGTTGAGGTCCCCCCTGCAGATACTCTTTGTTTGCCACCCAGCTGAGGCCTGGGGTGGCCCAGTTTTGGCTACTGGTCCTGGGGGACGGGTTAGTATGAGGATTTCTAGACTCCTGGAGATAGTCAGAGGACACCACCTGTTGCTGAAAATTTAATTTCAAAGTAAGACCTTGAAGGAAATGACTAGTGACACTGACGGATTAGTGGTGAGTGAGTATTGTGAAATCATCCCCTCGAATGCAAATGTGAATTGAACACTGACGAGAGGATGTAAAAAGGGGGAGCAACGTGTTTCATCTAAGCTGATCCTGGGAGGGATATCATGATTGCCAGTAGAGCAGTTGATAATCAATTAACACACTAATAAATTCCTACTTGACTATTCATAACGCGTGCTTACTTTCTGCACCAGGGATCGTTACTGCAGAGCGTAATTGTAGTCCTTTCTCACTGGAATAATTGTTTTCAAGGAACTAAAAAGCAGCCAAGAGGGAAGCTCGATCTCCCAAGTTTAATTTGTTTTTCTCTCTTTCTCTTGCCTTTTGCAAAATTTTGTCTTCCAGCCAAAGAAAGAGAGGGATGACATGCTTGAAAGGCATCTTGGTCTCACAGAACAAACTTCCTCTTAAAAAACAGTGGAAGGCCACGTGAATCACCGCTGCATTCATTAGTACAACAGTATAACATTAGTATAACAGGTCGATACCTGAAACTGAACATCAGTAACAGCTAATTCATAAAAATGATAACTAACAATACAAAAAGCCTTACTGATGTTAGGCTACTCATAAAATGTTCTTTTTAAATTGTCAGAAGATTGTACATGGTAAAAATGTACTAAAAGGTGCATCTGCCAAGCGTGAAAACTACAACCTGGGATAACGCATCAGTGTTATATTTTCCCGAGATCTGTAGCTCTAGTTTCACTATATGTATATTTGGAATGTGATGAGCACATATATATATATATATATATATACACACACACTCATTCATTTTCTTGTATACTGAAATCATGCTAGCGTCAGTACAACATGTAGGACGTGCAGGATAGACAAGTCAAATATGGCACATGCTGTCAGAGCAGTACAGAAACATCATGCACTGTTGGACAGACAAAACAAGCAATGGAAGGGTTAGGAAATGGAATTTCTGGTTGACACTATATTATTTTTATATTTCTTATTATATGGATAAGAACAAAGACCACACCAAATGTAAGTTTTTTTAAATTTGACATTTAAAAGTTAAGCAAGTTTAACTCAACTGAGGTGACATTAAGAAAGTCTTTGTTATTGTCTCTAAATTCAAACAGGCTGACGAATAAAATTAAAGGAATAACAAACATGTTGTTTAGTGTTGCACTCATTTTATTGATCAGTGGTTAAAAAGTCATCCAAATCTCGAGGCCCACTGCCTGTTCGAGATCCGTTTTGTGCAGTTTGATCAGAAAATAATTAAAAACATTAACACCAACACTTGAACCAATTTCTCTGGTTCAATTTTTTTGCAATCAATTTAAAAACAAAATAATACAACTTATCATGTACCATATAAAAGAATAAGATCTGAGAAACGCTGAGAAGTGCATTATAGTGGAACTTCTAACAACTGCATTTTTAAAGGATGCCATCCTTGTGGTACGAACCTCATTGTCACCAAACCTCCGACGATTACTCTGTACAGTACTCTTTGTTAAAGGGAAGGAAAACTTTTAAAATAAAATACAGCTGGTTTTGGCATCTATTTGGAAAACATCGCAAAGCAGTGAAGCACAGCACATATAAATAAGATAGCTTTGTTATCTCTGCATTATTACATTGCAGATAAGGAATTAAAGTTTGATGTGCAGTACTTAAATCCAAACTTAATTAATTAATCAAATCTATTCATTATCCAAAAAAATAGGTCTAGATATTTTTTACAATATAAATGAATAAAAATAGGATTCAAGGCCATCCACTCACCCAATGATAATTATATGGACTGAATAAGACATTAGTGACTGTGTTTTGTTCATTGCTTTGATTGTATAAAAAAAAAAGAAAATAAAAAAAAGAAAAGGAAGAAAGAATGAAAGAAAAAAGTACCAAGTTTGAAACAAAGAGAAAAAGTTTAAAAATCTGCAACTGATTAAGAAATTTACTATACAATTTTATTTACATCTGAGCTGCCGAAAAGTAAAAAAGTATCAATATTCACAAGAGACTATACAATAATCTTTAATCAGTAGGTCCAAAAACTCCTGCTTTTATCTTCGCCCAAAATGTAAAAAGAAGTTCACCCAGTGTTTTAAAAATAGATACAGAACAAATATATAATACATTTAAGAAGGTTTGACCATATTATAAAGACTTATAATAGTGCAACTACCTAATGTATATTTTAAAAAAGAGGCATTTAAAAAAGTAATAAATTTTTAAAATATCTTTTAAAAGGAGCATCTCTGTGCAGATTATTGCTGTGGACGTTAATTTTTTTTTTTTTTTTTTTAAAAAGGAAGGCACAGCGGCCCTGGTAGACTGAGTCAAACACGTTTTTACACAGGACTGGAGATGGAGTAAGGTTACAGGCGTCCCAGGGTTTAATCAGAGGAGGGTAGGCCACACTGGGGTTTGTAGGTAAAACATAGAAAAGGGGGGGGGGGGGGGGCGGGGGGGACTGCAGGGGTTGTGCAGGACAACACAGCGGCGAGACACAGGAGGTAAAAAACATTGCTGAGGTAAAGGTCACACAGACGTGGTCACTCTGTCTGCAGCGTTATTGACCTCGTTTTTGTTGGAGTCCAGGCCTTTGGCAGCGTTCAGGTCGTTGCGGAGGTTCTCAGCTGCTTTCTTCATCGTTTTCAGCTCACCGGGGTGAGGCGTAGCCCGCCGGAGTAAAGTTCCCTGCGTGAAGGAATGACTCTAATTAGTGGTACACTTTCTATATATGCAGCAAAAAGAGTAATTACTTGCATCTGCTCTAGGTGGTGAGCGAAGAACAGTTAAAAATGGGCATGGCTGACTAAAGGCTATGTCAAAACTGAACGTCCAAACTGAATGACTGATTGCAAATGTGTCGCATTTGGCTTGAAAGTAGCAAAATGTAATAGAGAAATGTTGAACTAATTTTTGCATCATCATGTTACTATTGTCATTGTGAGCAAGCTAGCAGCTGGTGTTAGCATTTCACTAAAAGCAGCTCTTTGTTCTTTGTTTCTCTAATATGGACATCATGTGTTTTTAGTAACGGGCTCTATGGCACAGAGGAATAAGATATATCAGCCTTTGGATACAGTTCACTGTTAGTTTTAGTCTTTTTATAAGATTTGTTGACAATAAGAAAAATCTAGAATATCACCAGACTCATCCCTTAAACAGTGGCTTTTTCATTTTGCTTTTTCTGCGCCGTAGTTGAGCCCTTGAGCTCGGCGCTCTCACCTTGTCATCATCCTCCTCCTCATCATCATCAAGGAAGTGAATGGCACTGATCCTGTTCACGAGGGCTTTCTCGTCCCACGTGTCATCTGCCATGTCATTCACCAGGCTCTCCAGGGCTCCAAAGCGGCAAGTTTTATCAGAGCCTGAGGTTGTTTTTTAAAGAGACAACACAAATTGTATTACTGGAGTTCATGCATGTGTAAAAATGCTAAGAATGAATTACAGATCGTAAAATGAATATTTCAGTAGATTAAAATCAATATGGTTGTTATGATCGCTTCTCCGCAATCTGCCAACTCAAGAAATGAAAACTGTCACATAACCCAGCTCTTATGAGAGAGAGCCTGAAACTGCCAGAATCACAGTTTCAAATCCCAGCTTAGTCACAGGCTTACAGACACACAATCTTCCCTGCCCCCAACTATGGCTTCACCCTCACTCATCTGACCTCCACCAGTCTTACATCTCTCCCACAAGAGAGAGACAGCACATCAATGCATAAATGCGCCCGTTTCTTTTTGAGGGAGAAACGGCTTTTTTTTAAGTGCAACATACAGTGACATGAAGGAACAAGCCTTTTGCAGTGGAACGCATATACTCCTCACATTTGTCTGTGGATGAACGCAAAGAATAAAAATGACAATAGACTGTCGTATCAGGCAGAGATAGAGCCAGCCTTCAGCCGCATCTCTATACCCACTAGGCAGCTTTTAATGGCAGCAGGCCAGCCGCTGCAAGCCTCTTTAACTG